CAGGAAATAAATTGCCTTTTCCATCTCCCTACAAATATGAGGGAGATTTATATATCTGCATACAAGAGAATGGACAATGTCCCAGGGTTGCTCACATGCCTGAGAACATCAGTGCTTATTTTCCTATACCTAAAAATGCTTAGATAGTTACCTCTGAAAGTGAAATGTGAATTTTAAAAAAGATTTGAAATAAATCACTAATGTGATTATGACATACATGTTTAAGAATTGTGCCTCATATTAGGGCTCAAAGAGATCTCTATTTTAACTGCTGCTCTATCACCAGTTTTAATTCATTGCTTTAGGCTAAGTCCTGTGACTCCCAAACCCTATGCACCTGAGTGTGGGGTTGGGGGAGGCAGAGAGTGATATAAAGGGGACAGCAGGCAGGATTAGTTTACATAAATGAAGTTTGTATGAATTTCATGTGATCTTCATATCTACTACTTGGTGAGCCACACAACTAGACAGCTAAATGCATGACATGCCTGTCCCCATATTACATCCCTCTCTGATCTCCATTCACAACCTAAATCAGAAAGTGGAAGAGATATCATTTGATATTTTCCAAATTCTACAGAAAGAAACACATATTTATACAACACAATCAGAGTCCTGGTATGGCATGGTTGGTTAACGTGCTGGACTGCAAGGTTGATTTGAACCACAAGGTCGGCAGTTCAAACTCACCAGCTGCTTCTCAGAAACCCTATGCAGGGTCAGTATGAGTCAGAACTGAACTGACAGCATTTAATAACAACAGCAACAACAATGCAATACAAATGATACTTATGCAACACATACGTTTTGCGCTCTTATAGTAAACCTATGATTCTCAATTCCTGTTACCTAATATTCACAAAAAGGGAAGAACACACTCAGCATTTCTCAAATTGGGGGAATTGAAGAAAAAATTCAAGCCTTGACTTTTGTTATTGAAGGATTCTCTGGGAAAATTGTTGAATGATGCAGAAAGCATCCAAAGTAGATGGAAGGATTACATAGAGTCACTGAACCAAAAGCAAATGTTTGATGTTCAACCATTTCAAGAGGTAGCATATGATCAAGAGCCAATGATCCTCAAAGAGGAAGTCCAAGGTGCATTGAAGGAATTGGCAAAGAACAAGGCACTGGGATCTGATGGAATAAAAATTGAAATCTTTCAAGAAAGTGAGGTGGCACTGGAGGCACTCACTCATTTATGCCAAGAAATTTGGAAGACAACTATCTGGCCAACTGATTGGAAGAGATCTGTATTTGTGCCCATTCCAAAGAGAGGTGACCCAATGGAATGTGGAAATCATCAGGCAATATCATTGATAACCCATGCTAGTAAAGTTTTACTACAGGTAATAAAGAAATGGCTGTACGTATGCACTGAGTGAGAACTTCCAGAGGTTCAAGCCAGATTCAGAAGAGGATGTGGAATGAGGGATATCATTGCTGATGTCCGATGGATCTTGGCTGAAAGCAGAGAATACCAGAAAGTTGGTTACCTGAGCTTTATTGACTATGCAAAGACATTCGATTGTGTGGATCATTACAAACTATGGACAACATTGTGAAGTATGAATATTCCTGAACACTTAGTTTTGCTCATGAGGAATCTGTACCTGGACCAAGAGGCAGTTGTTTAAACAGGACATGGGAACACTGAATGGTTTAAAATTAAGAAAGGTGTGCGACAGGGTTGTATTCATTCACCATATGTATTCAACTTGTATGCTTAGCAAATAATCCGAGAAGCTGGATTATATGAAGAAAAATGTGGATTGAAGGAAGACTCATTAACAAACTGCAATATGCATATGATACAGCCTTGCTTGCAGAAAGTGAAGAGGACTTAAAATATTTACTGATGAAGATCAAAGAGCACAACCTTCAGTATGGATTGCATCTCAATGTAAAGAAAACAAAAATCCTCACCACTGGCCCAATAAATAGCATTCTTATCAATGGAGAAAAGATTGAAGTTGTCAAGGACTTCATTCTTCTTGGATCAACTGTCAACACTCATGGAAGCAGCAGTCAAGAAATCTAACAATGTGTTGCATTAGGCAAATCTCCTGCACAAGACCTTTTTAAAGTATTGAAGAGCAAAGATGTCAGCTTGAGGACTAAGGTGAGCCTGATCCAAGCCATGGTATTTTCAATAACCTCATATCGATGTGAAAGCTGAACAGTGAATAAGGATGACCGTAAAAGAATTGATGCATTTTAGTTATGGTGTTGGAGGAGAATATTGAATGTACCATGTGCTGCCAAAAGAACAAACAGATCTGTGTTGGAAGAAGTACAGCCTGAGTTTTCCTTGGAGGCCAGGATGGTCAAACTTTGTCTCTCATACTTTGGGTATATTGTCAGGAGGATCCAGTCACTGGAGAAGAATATCATGTTTGGTAAAGTGAAGGGTCAGAGAAAAAGAGGAAGACCCCCAGTAAGATACATTGGCAAATTGGCAGCATCAATGGGCTCAAGTATGCCAATAATTGTGAGGTTTGCCTAGGACTGGGCAGTGTTTCCTTCTGTTGTGCATAGGGTCACTATGAGTCGGTACCAACTTGATGGCATCAAACAACAACAACAATATTATTTTATGTTCCCACTCACTGTTAAAGAAATATATAGAATGAATATCATCCTTATTTTGCAAGTGAGAATTCTGGGCATGGACTGATTACTGGTCATGGTACATGTCTCAAACTAGTTTACTAAGGATTTGAGATGGAACATCAAGTTTCTTACCTCTCTAATCCATGCTTTTCCTATGGAATTAATGACAGCCATGCTGAGAAAGCATTTTAAATTAAGAACTAATTGACAACTGCTATTTTATGTGCTTCTAACACTTAACATTTGCTGGATTTGGTGGGTTTTTTTCCCAGGTACTGTTGCAACTACTTCAACTTTCATTTTTCCCAGGTACTGTTGCAACTACTTCAACTTTCATGTGCTCACTTTTTTTTTTAGGTCTATGTTTTTTATCTAATATATACATCAATCCTGGATCTTAAGAGTACCCCAAGGATAGAATAATTATTAATTGTTATGCTGCAATCTGAAGTAGAGAATGTAATTGTTGTCACTCATAGTTTTTGTCATGCCTACCAGACTACCTGAATTTGTAATAGATTTACTACCTCAGTGCATAGTTTTATAGTAAATTGGCAATTTACTGTTTTTTAGACATTTTATATTTCTTTTTAGCATAAAAGGATGATCAACGTTTATTTCAAAATTTTAGTCATCAGTGATTCTTATTCAAGACACACATGACTGTAAGGAAAGATGTCTTTTAAAGTTTTGTATTTCATTCAGGTTTAGGACGAATGTTCAAGAGAGTTTTAAACTGAAGTTCTGCATGAAAGAAATAGGTCAACTATGGTACCAAACCAAAGATGTTAGAGTGATGTGTTTCAACCTCAAAAGAATGTATTGGAAGTGATTTCTTACTCTAAACTTCATAGCATAGGGAGGGCCAAGGTTTTCTGAATTAATCTTTGAATCCCTTTTGGTTTGGATATTCCATGATATAAACAATAAGAAAGAGGAGAAATGTCACTCCATTTAACGTAAAACAAAATATAAACAGCAACAAACCAGTATATATGGAAGAGTGGAAGAATTTTGAGATTACAAAAGGGAAGGATGCAAATTTAAAAAGAGCCAGTTGTCGTAATCTGCTGCCTTATAATGGAAATAAATAAAAACTCTTATAGGTGGAGGAAACACTTACATAATCATTTGAATGTACTTGATTTCAAATGATCTCATGATAAAGGTCCCGAGGAGCCCACAAATACACCCATAGGATTCACTTTACACCAAAATTCATGAGTAGCAACTGTTTCCTAAAAGAAAACAAATTTCTGTCCAGGGAATTTGAACCACTCCAAAGGATTTAATGACTTGCAGGGGCTTGTAGGTCAGTCACATCTGTTCTGAAATGAAATGCTCCTTCCTGTTTCTAAATTGACTAACTCTTGACCCCATTAGCCCTCTAGTCTTAAAACAAAGATTATTCCTGTTCCGTTAGCTGTACAATAGTCAGGGCCTTTATGTTGATTCCAGCACATGGAACTAATCACCGTTTTATTCTCTCTGGTCATTAAAAAAAGAACTAGCCAAAAGAAAACACAAAATAAAATTTGCATTGGTTTAAGGATCTGGTTTATATGTTCTGTCCACGTGGACACCTGTGGACAACAAAAGTATCTGAAATCGTAAGATCTTTCCAGAGTGGAGCCCCAAACCAAATCCATGCTACAGAGTGGATCTGACTCAGTGACCCTACAAGACAGAATAGAGCTACTCTATAGTTTCTGAGGCTGTAAATATTTACACCAGCTGATTGCCTCTTATTTCTTCTACAGAGTAGCTGGTGAGTTTGAACTACCAAGTTTGCAGTTAGCAGCCCAATACTTAACTCACTGTACCCATCAGGACTCCTTTTAGGGTAGAGAGTTCCCTGTGTTTTCTTTCCTTCAAGATGAAATCATTAGGCGTCCATTGCTCTGTTGCCTGAGTCTCCTCTTTATGAAAATAAAAGGTGCCCATCCCATTGATGCTAAAACACAGTCTCCAGTTATAACAGAGACTTGAGTTTGAGTTTCTGATGTTTTGTTCTTAAACTAACCAAAAGACAGAGGTAGGGCTTTGTTTTGTTTTATTTTCCCCACAAAGCTTTATTTACAAATGAAACAAATGGTTTGAAAACTTCTAAAGGGAAAGAGTGAAATGAAGACCGTTCAAAATCTAAATGATGACAGGAGACAAAGCTAGTGTTTGGAGGGGAATGAACAGGTGAGCAATTTCACACATTTTATAAATAGAAAAAAGATACACTCCTGTTAAGGAAAAAAAAGACCTTTTCTCTGTTGAAAGAATGTTCTGCAGCCTTCAACTCTGTAATCTAGTTTCTCTTTTGCGCGGACAACAAAATGGCAGATAGTGAGGAAGAAACCAGCCCCACCCCCATTTTTCTGAGCCCCAGATCTCACCTGCGAGTAGACTAGATTTTGCCAGTGCTGTGAAGTAGGAAAACTGCCACCTGCAAACCTCACCAGGCTGTCTGGAAGGTGGGCTGAAGTCCTCATTAAAGACTTCACTTCTAGCTGCAGGAATTTGTCAGGATGGTTGTTATTTGGCAAAACGGAGAGATCCATGTCTCCCTTCATGTACAGTGGGAAACAAAAGCCAGCGAGGTTGCTCTTACTAAACTCAGCCATTATTAATGAACCTGAGGATGCTCCAACTGGCACCTGACACCAAGTCTGCCTGCTACACTCTTAAGTCCACCAGAAACCACATCAACATATAGGAACAGAGCAGTTCCCTGCTCCACATCCCTCCCCCTGACATACACACTGACCCTGCTCAAACAGGACTGCACTCATTAACATTTATAGGATGCTAAAAAACAGGTATGTATAGCCTTTAAGATTTCTTCATACAGATCCAGAAACAACAGTTTAGGAGACATTATTCTTTAGATAAAAGCTGCCAGAATCTGCAGTCACAGTTCATAACGTGAATACATGAAATCAAGTCACCTGTTGAGATATTACTTACATTTTCTGAGTATCAATGAGCTAACACAGCTGACTTGGCCCTGCCAATATAGACTCAAATATGATATGCAGGACCTTGTTTCTTCGCATGTTTTGACTCCAAGTGTTTTGAAGTTAATATGAAAGCAAGCTATGTTCAGGTTCTCAGCATTCTTCTGAATGGGGAATTAGGAAGAATTTGCTTTATAGTTTGCTACTGCCTTGATGCATTCACTATCTGAGGCCCCTTTGACTCTATTGCTAGCTACACAAACTCTTGTGATGTGTTTTAGTGTTCACACAGTATGTTTGGAACCAGAGGGAAACAAGGCTGCTGGTTTGGATGACACACTGTTCTAAGTAAATCCATCTGCTGTTGATAGAGCCAGGGTGGGAGTGACACTGTGTATAGTGTCGCAAGCCAGGAAGTGATAATGATTTTAATGGAGATATGCTCTCTCCTTTAAGTATGACCCATACTTCTCACTGGGAATGTATGGATTTGCATTTGGAAGAAGAAACCGTCCTACTTGTGAAAGGTACATTGATAGTTTTTCAAAGATGTGGGTTTTATAAAAATTGTTGCATCTATATAAAGCCTTCTGAGTCAGCAGGGAGCTTTCTCATTCAGGGCAATGGGGTTACATGTGGAATGTATCAGAACCAGATTTTAGAAGAATGTCATATAGCTTATAAGAATCAGCTGCCAAGATGTTCTTGACTCTAACAAAACACTAGAGAGTACTTACCTTCTTTGCAGCACAAAGCTTGAGTGTGTGTGTGTTTTTAAAATCTGCTCTTATAGCTGTAAAACTGAATTAATGAGCTAAAATTTCCTATAAGACTGTTTTTAACCTAAATTTTATCACTGTGTTACAATATTTGAAATATATTTGGCTTTATTTTTTTCAATGCATTAACTAGGAAACTAAGATGTCCTTAATGATAATGAGCATTAATAACAAAATATTAAACTTAACATGTTTCAAGAACCAGGTGTGTTATGTGTATGTGCTTGGTACATTCTGGATTTTTCTGGCTACTGCCAGAATATTTCTAATGAACAAATATTTCTCAGACTATTTGCTTTTCCTAGAAAATTCTTTGGAGAATAACACAAATCTTCAAGAAGAACCTTTCATGCCTTTGGCTCTTTATATTGGCAAGTGGAGACACAGAACCTAGATCCAAATATATTTGATTAGACCTTTTTCTTAGCCAAAATATGAGGTAGGTGAAATAAGTCTTCGCTTTTCCTTAGGCATTCTTCATTTAGACTATTCCACCATGCCTGAGATACTCAGAGGGTTGTATACTGCCTCTTTCTACTTATAAGTCTGAAATTCTCTATTTTCAACTCCAAATCAGGGTGGGAATGAGACTATGGACAGTGAAGCAAGCAAATCAGTTCTTATTTTTACTACATTCCCTGCAGGTAAATTACATAATTGACAGTCAGGAAACCAAGTTTGTCCCATGTCCCACCACCTCTGTTTCCGAATCCCACCCTACAAACATACCAAACATAGCTTTTCTCGTGACAGCTTTCAGCTTGGAAAAAACTCTAATTTTTGACAATTGACCACTTCCTAATCATCTTTTATGAGCAATCTCTGATACCTAGCCTTCCACAAAACTTTCCATGTTTTCTCTAAGAGGTATGATTTTTTCCCTTCTTTGAAATCTTAGAATTATTTGCTCGTACCCTCATCTTACAATAGTTTGTTTGATCATTTATTTCTTAGTTCTTTTCTCTTATGATCCCTATACTGAAAAAAGAGTAGCACAATTGGATGGACCCTTCCCACACAATTCTTACCTAAATACCTTAAAGAAGCCTTGCTCAAAAAAATAATTGCTCTTGACTATTCCAGTCTCTTAGAACTTTACTATGGCACTTAACTGATAATTCAACTAAACAGAAGATGGCTCAGTGTTCTGTCTTCCAACTTGTGTTCAATCATGCTCAGTGAGATAAACATTCCATGTCAAAAATGTTTATGACATACCACATACTCTCTTCTGGTAGTTTACGCTCATACTGAAGCTGCTGAGAAGTTCTGCTTTGTTAATGCATGTTATTGTTCAGTGCCATGGAGTCTGTTCCAACTCATAGTGTCCAACAGCTGTGTTACAGCAGGAATAATAGTTAATACTAGCATTTTTTTGAATCTATTATTTTATAATCAATTCTTCAAAAAGTAAATTGCTTAAGAACACATGTAAAAATGTTGGCTTTAGATTTTTATTTCTTCACTATCACTAATACATTTATTAAATTATAACAAAAGCATATAAATACATACAGTTCTGTTGAAGGGGTGATCTGTTGAGAAAGGGATTATGGATATTTGCGACTGTCAAATCTTATACAGATAATTTTTTAAAAATGTTTTGTTGTGAATTATTTGACAGTTTACATGGGAGAACATTAGCTTTATATTCATCCTATCATATATCACTTCATTGCTGTGGTTAAAATCCCTTCCATGCAACATCATCCAACCAAAGGGTATACGCTGTAAACATGCTTCCCGGTTGTCAGTACACAGCCCCTCTCCCTCTCTAGGTCTAGAGTCCCCAGCCACTCCATCTCTCCACATTATCATCTCTGCCTCCATCTCTGGAGTCACTGCTTCTCTGGGTAGGGTCCCATATTTTTCTTTTCTCCCTTGATGGTCCCAGGGACCTCCACTCCTAGACTGCAAAGTCAATCACTCCCATCCTTTTGCTACAAAGTGTCTACCTTTACATTTCCCACCCTCACAGTCAGTCCTGATAACAATTATTCACTATTGTATCAAAAGAGCTCTATCCCCATCTCCTTTCATCAGCCCCACCAAGACAGATTGGATATTACTCAGTGGAGTCTACCTTCCTCTGTGCCCTCTGGATCTAGGCTCCATCTTGAAAGCTTGTAAGCCAGTCACTTCTTGCCTTTGTACCCTCCCCTCCACCCACACATCTTGGGTAGCCAGTGTCCAAGTTGCCCATCCCTGTCTACTCTGTGTATGGAGGGGTGGGAATAATCCCTGCTGCAAAGATTTATTCCCTCTTTTGAGGGAATTTTTTCCCTCTTTATTCTACACTTTTGTATCCATAGGTGTAGGTCAAGTTCATCAAATTGTATTAGATTACTCTTTTTTTCCTCTTCTTTCCTCTTCTAGTTGAGCTCTGATCACCCAGTCATTGAAGCCAGGTCAGGTGGGTGTTATCTGCAAGTGTGGGTGTTCTTATGCATATACCCTCTCTTCTTATCAGCTGGATGCTTCACTTTCCACTTTAGTACTCTGTGGCTATGTCACTGACTCTGGGCCCATGGGTCCCCAGGTCTTGCCATACTGCTGGCCATCCAGGTCATTGAATGTTGAATGTTGTAGGGCTTAGCTCACAGCTTCATTGCTGTTTTTCCCTCACTTCCCCTTATCAGTGATGAACATGGTCACCAATCAGAGCGCATGTCTTCTCGTGTATTCCCACTGAGTTTTAGTCTTGGAAGGGGGTTTGCCCTGAGGGTACCCAATCATTTGTCTTGATGTCTCCTGGGAAAGCAACTTGCTTATTCTTTTAGTAAACAGTCAGACTGCTGTTAATTGTTTTTTTTTAATTTTTCCTGTCAGTCTTTCTTTTAAGAAGTATCTTCTGTTGTTCTAGCTGCTCCAGGCTGGTCTTACAGGTAATGTTTTTCTCTGTTCTTCTTTAAGACAAATAAAAAGGTACCATTTTTCTGTGGATTTCCTCCCAGAATTCTTATCTCTTGAACTACGAGAATTGAAAAACTAGAACTAAATACAGATTCACTAGACCAGGCTATTTAGACATTAATTCAACTTCTTTCCCTCCTCTTCTACTCCTTCCTTCCTCTTTCTTTCTTCATATATTCACACTGTACCAAAAACCAAGTGGAATATCTGAAAGTAGTTCAAGATGAAAAGACCTGTTTAGTATACAGATGAGCAAATGGGATTCATGGTATTATCTGAAAATGTTTGAAAATTTGTTGTATTATTTATTTATTTTGCTTTTTTTTTTTTTTTTACAAACAAGCTTATATTGAGCTTACAAATTCTTGTGCATTCATTATAAAATATTTCCAAATTGGTAGATGAGGGAATGAGGCAATCAAATTGAGTAAACAGGACTTTGAGTCAGAGGGATCAGTTATGTCCAACTAATTTATGTTCTTGAGAAATTTACTGAATCTCTCTGAGCTTCAGTTTCTTCAATCCTAAAATGAAGATAGTAATAGTACCCTAAGAAATTTACTTGTTGCTTATTGTTATTTGATACTGTTAACTTAATTTTGGCTCATAATGACCACATATGAAAGAGTGCAATTGCCACACATGGTTTCCTAGGTGAGAATCTTTATGGGAGCAGATCTTCAGGTATTTCTCCCATGGAGCCACTGAGTGGGCTCAAACTGTTAGCCTGTTGGTAACAACAGAGCGCTTAACCATTGCATAACCTGTGTTAAAAACAAGAGTTTTTCTCTTACTATAAGAGTGCATTGAAACTTAAGACTGGGCTTACTGGTCAGGAAGAGACTAGAGAAGCAGGAAATTATGGCCCTCAACTACCCATTAGCCTTGAACAGAACTCACCCTCGTGGCACA